TGGCTCCCCCAGCAGACCAGGGAGATGGGGAGCAACTTTTCTCGCTCCGGAGGAGGCGGGCGGCGGGGCCAGGCATCCCGCCGCTCCAGTCCTCCGGGGCGAGAAAATCTCCGTTCGTAACTGTGGATCCGACGTAAGTCGGATCCGCGTAACTCGGGGACTGCCTGTACTTTGATTTTAGAAAAGATTTTGATACAGCCTTCCACAGTATTCTTGCCAGCAAGTTAAAGAAGTATAGATTTGATAAATGTACTGGAAGGTGAACAGGAAGCTGGCTAGATTGTTTGGCTCAACAGATAGCTCAATGGCTTAATGTCTGGTTGGCAGTTGGTATCAAGTTGAGTGCCGTAAGGGTTGGTTCTAGGGCTGATTTTGTTCAACATCTTTGTTAATGACCTGGATGGGGGGGATGGATTGCACCCACAACAAGTTTGTGTATTACACTAAACTAGGGGGAGAGGTAGATACACTGGAGGGCAGGGTTAAGGGTCCAGAGTGACCTAACCAAATTGGAGGATTGGGCAAAAAGAAATCTGATGAGATTCAACAAGGACAAGTGTAGAGTCCTGAACTTGGGATGGAAGAATCCCAAGTATTGTTACAAGCTGGGGACCAGCTGGCTAAATAGCAGTTCAGCAGAAAAGGACCTGGGGATTACAATGGATGAGAAGCTGGATATGAGTTGTGTGCGCCCTTCTAGCCAAGAAGGTTAACAACATACTGGGGTGCATTAGTCTGAGCACTGCCAGCAGTTCTAGGGAAGTGATTATTCCCCTTTATTCAGCACTAATCAGGCTCCATCTGGAGTTATACATCCAATTCTGGATCCCTCTCCCCATTACAGAAAGGATGTAGATGCACTGAGGAAGTCCAGTGGAGGGCAACAAAAATTATTAGGTAGCTGGAGTGCATGACTTATGAGGGGAGGCAGAGGGATTTGGGTTTAGTTAGTCTTTAGAAGAGAAGAACGAAGGGGGATTTGATAGCAGCCTTCAACTACCTGAAGCAGGGTTCCAAAGAGGATGGAGAGGCTGTTCTCAGTGGTAACAGATGACAGTACAAGGAGCAAAGGTCTCCAGCTGCAGGGGGGTGATCTTGGTTGGATATTAGGAAAAACTATTTTACTAGGAGGGCAGTGAAGCACTGGAATGGCTTACATAGGGAGGTGGTAGAATCTCTAGTCCTAGAGGTTTGTAAGTCCCAACTTGACAAATCCCTGGCTGAGACTTTTAGCAAGGGGCTGAAGTTTATATCCTCCAGAGGTTTCTTCTAGCCCTGTAATTCTATGATTTTCGCAGCAGTGGATACTCGGCAGTACTAGACTATCAGAGGGTGGATGGCTCTAGGAATTGATAAGTGGGGTTGGATAATGCATTAAAGGTCACTTGAATCCCACTGACTTCCAGTGACAACTAGATGCATTGGAATTTTTTTCTTTTCACATTTAGGTCTTATTTAAATATAGCCCTGGGCATGGAGAATGGTGTTCATGGATGACCTGGTGGCTACACTCCCACCCTAAGCTAAAATCTCCCTGAATAACTCATCTGAACAAGAAGAACTCTGTGGGGAGGTTTAAAACAAAAAGGAAGCTTTTCCTAGCACCCACTCCTCTACTGCAGGGAGGGGAGGAAAGAAAGATATTTTCTCTCCATCTATTTCCCATTCCCTTTCTTTCCTCGTTTGGAGAGACCAGGACAGATGAATATTCACTCTTGCTGCTCAGGCTGAAGCATATGTTAAGAGAGCTTCTAAAAGGAACTGGTGGTTGGTAGCAATACGGATGCGTGATAAGCACTTCCAAGCTCAGCACAATGATACAGGATTTGGACTCCCTGTCCTACAACCTGTCCGATCCCGTTCCCATGCAGTGCAACAGCTCCAGTGGTGTTGCATGCAAAGTTGCCAGCAGTCCCAACTTAAGCCATGAGATTTGTGCTAGAAGTCTCTGTGGCAAAAGCAGGTTCCTCTGAAGGTTATGTATCATGGTTACAAACTGTTAAATAGGGGTCTTTTAGTATTATTTCATTCCACTGGGACTCATTGGCCATGACCTATATAACTCTTAGTGGCTTTGCCACTGCTTAATAGTGTATTCAGCTCAAATTCATGGTGAGAGAACCTTTATAGCACACCAATCAATCTGTATTCCCAATATAAAAAATTAGTAGAATGTCTACGCTCTTAGGAATATTGCAGCCAATTGCACATTTTATGCCTCTTAAAAGACTGCAGAAACAGCAAACTCTTCAGATTAAAATAACAACCCTTAAAAACAACAAATAGTCTGGTAGCACTTTAAAGACTAACAAAAGACGTAGATGGCATCATGAGCTTTCGTGGGCACAGCCCACTTCTTCAGAGGACCTGAATGTTGGATGGCCACATTCCAATCGTCTGAAGAAGTAGGTTGTGCCCACGAAAGCTTATGATACCATCTACGTCTTTTGTTAGTCTTTAAAGTGCTACCAGACTATTTGTTGTTTTTTAAGTTTTTCCAGTTACAGACTAACTCAGCTTCCCCTCTGAATCTTCAGATAAAATCTCTCACAAGCTTATCAGTTTTGTTGCAGGAACTGAAGCTGAACTGCAATAAAATTAATGAGGCCTCCCCTCCCTCTGCCTTCTCGACAGAAAACAACTTTATAGTGTGCAGCAGCATAGAAATGGACATCAAGCAAATCATCACCTGTGAGAGAGCATTCAAAGAGGTGACAGACGGTATCGCCAAGCAAGGAGGCTAATGTGTGAGCTCAACTGAGCTTTAGCGTGGAAGGTGTGTGGAGACAGAACTCAAACTCAAATGGGTTTTAATACAATTCAGAAAGAGTACCTTGAAGTCAATACTATGTTATTCAAAAACAAAATGGAACTGTGTGAACTCTCCACTTAGAATACCAGCAGAAGGAACAATTTATGTTTAACCATTCAAGAAATTGGTAGCTGCATCTGGATAAGACACAAGTAAGCAAACAGCTTCATATATAATCTCTGAAGATCAATACCTTGGACACGCCATATTTTCTCTGAACAGCTCTCTGCATGCACTGATTAGTGGGGAAATTTTCATATGGTTCAGTCTTGTAGTTTTGCATCTTTATCTTGTGTACCTTTCAGTCAATGGAAGTTTTACCTGTGTAAGCAATGCAAAACCAAGCTCTTAAGTTGCAATTTTTTTTTCAATATTGTGTACAAGCATTTTAAAAAATGACCAGTGATTATGGCAGCCTTAGCGCTTGGGTTCCTGACTTGAAACACTCAGAATCAAATTCCTATGTGTGTCTCCAGTTGCCCACCCAAATACTGAGGGAGCCAAAGTCACTGGTTGCTTTTTGGAAAATCTTGGCCTGGTCTCCTAGCTCATTAAATATTTTACAAGCCTTAAGGCTGTATAGAAAGTGACATGTAAGGTGTGAAGACGAGGAACTAGATTGTCCCTTCTTAGCTTCACTGGAGTCACAAGTTTGATTTGATCCCATAAAAACAGTGGGGTTGTACAGATGTACCCATGTACATCTCCCACATCTGCAGCTGCACAGAATAGACATCTCTACTCCAAGCCCCTCCAATCACTGCTCTATGACACACAGGATGTTGACTCATTGCTCCACCAACTGCCCTTCTCTCCATTCCCATGCAGTAGAGCAGAGCAGACCCATTTGTGCTGCAGTTGGAGCCTTCTGCAGCCCTCTCTTGGGTCTATACCACACATTGGGCATCTCAATGCATTCAATTGATATTATTTAAATAGCACATGCAAGTTTGGTAACAGTAAATGAATAGAATTGTGTTCTGTGAATGCCCATCTAAGAAACCCATGGCACAATCTCACCATTCTAGTTATGTCTGATACAATGGTAACTGAAGAAAAACTTAGGTACAACTGTTAGCAGAGCCAAATTCTGCTCTCACTTACTCTGATGTCACAGAGTAACTCCATAAAGGCCTTTTATATGTATATTAATAGCCTATATTTTCCATGAATGGTTAGTAGAATGATCTCAGGTAGGACATTTTTGAGCTGGAACAGACTTCTGTGCTACCAAGATTTCAAATCAGGTCAAGAGCAGAGTCTGTTGTCCATGTGTTTTTCCTGCCTTCAGTATTAGCTCTCTAAAATTCACAGTTGTGTTCCAGGAGGCTTTTTAATTTACCAAAGAAATGGGAAGAACAGGGCATCTGTAACACCGTTTGAGATAGGCAAGCATGTTAAATAGCACAAAGGTGTTGTTTTAGCTAGGCTTTTAGAAAGGAGAGTGATGCAATCACGGGCCAAGACACTGCCCAGTGTTAAAATAGAAAAGAAACTTACAAGGTGAATGGAGAGATTTTTATGTGAGATCAGATTAATGACCACAGTAAAAGCAGGAAAATACGGATGTCACGAGCTTAATAGAACGCCTTATTTTAAACCATAATCAAAGTTTTTAATTTACTGTGATATAAAAGAATTGTATGTTCACTGGTTTGTGCAGTGCACCAAGTCTTTTGTATGCAATGGCTCCCAATAGTATTTTTGCTCTAAGGCTGATGCTCCTATTAATTCTCCAATACTATGTATAGATAATCTGAAAAGTGCCAGATGCTGAGGAAATGGCTTCATAGGCATAACGAGGAATTATATATCTCTAGCAATTAGATCATCATAAAATAAAAGGAAAACAAGCACTTGTCTATTGATCTTATATTCAGTGGCATTTAGACAGTGGGAGCAGTTCCATTTTGTTACTTCTGGCAGCCTGCCAGCAGCACTCTCCAAAGGCAGTGTGGCCCTGAGACAAATGGATAAACAATCTTGTTGAGCAACACGCACAGGAACATTCCAGCCTATCCCATCTTTGTTACATTTTGGCTATCGTGGGCAGAGAGCTGGCACTGATATGAACAGAAAGGGGTCAGTCAACTTCTGCACTTCACGTAGGCACCTTATATTAATTAGAATCTACAATTGTCACTGTTGACACAACAAGACCCAGGAATATGGACACAGAGTAGAAACCATTATTTATTTTATTATAGCCTTCTGGACACAATGGCAAACTTTGTGCCTGCTTTGGGTCTGGTTGTGCTTTAATTTCACTGCAGCCTTGCACTTACTCAGAGAACAGTCTCACATTCCTGTGGGAGCCAATAAACTAGAGGTGTCAAGTATCAGAGGGGTAGCCGTGTTAGTCTGAATCTGCAAAAGCGGCGAGGAGTCCTGTGGCACCTTATAGACTAACTGAAGTGTTGGAGCATAAGCTTTCGTGGGCAAAGACCCACTTCGTCAGATGCATGTAGTGGAACTTTCCAGAGGCAGGGGATAAATATGAAGGCCAGAATCAGGCTGGAGATGACGAGGTGGATCCAATCAGGGAGGATGAGGCCCACTTCTAATAGCTGATCTGGAGATGTGAATTCCAAGAGAGACGAGGCTGCTTTTGTACTTAGCGAGCCATTCACAGTCTTTGTTTAATCCAGAGTTGATTGTGTCAAACTTGAAGATGGGCTGTAGCTCAGCAGTTTCTCTTTGAAGTCTGGTCCTGAGGTTTTTTTGCTGCAAGATGGCTAACTAGATCTGCAATTGTGTGTCCAGGGAGATTGAAATGTTCCCCTACAGGTTTTTGTATGTTGCCATTCCTAATATCTGACTTGCGTCCATTGATTCTTTTATGTAGGGACTGTCCAGTTTGGACGATGTATATAGCAGTGGGGCATTGTTGGCACATGATGGTATATATTACGTTAGTAGATGTGCAGGAGAATGAACCATTGACAGTATGATCAGCTGTTATAGAGAGAACAGATTCTCATCAACTTCAAGCAGCACAAAATATCTTGAAAGCTGCCCTACAGGTAAGCATGTCCCTGGTGTAGAGGAATCCTTAGGAGGCATAAAACTGACATAGAAGAATCTATGCCACATGTCCATCTTCCTTTTGTGCAGTGCTCCAGCTTACCATTGCCTATTCTAAGGCTATATCTATACTTAAAACACTATGGTGCGTAGCTGCTCCCACTGAAGGCACTACTAAGTGTAGTGTAGATAGACACTTCTAAGACCGATAGGAGGGGTATCAGACAGGTAGGGATGTTAAATTTAGATTAATGGGCTAATCAAATAGTTGATTAAATTTTTATCGACTATTTGATTAGTTGATAAGGGCGCCTCCGCCTTTGAAGTGAAGCAACAGCCCCAGGGCTGTTGCTACACTTCAAACGCGAAAGCGCTGCAGGGAGCACAGGGCCCGTGGGGGATTCAAGCAGTCCCCCACTGGCCTTGTGCTCCCAGCGGCATTTCAAAGCAGCAGCGCCACATGGAGCCCAGGGTCAGCAGAGGAGTCCCCAGCTGACTCCAGGCTCCACACAGTGCACCGCTTTGAAATGCCGCATGGAGCCCGGGGTCAGAGTCCCCAGCTGACCCTGGGCTCCACACAACGCTGCCACTTGGAAGCACCCCTTCATCTTGCCTCCCCCTTGCTGCCTCTTTCTTATAGAGGCAGCAAGTGGGGGGGGGGGAGCAACTAGTCAACTAGTGTGTCAACTATCCGATAAGCATTTGCTTATCGGATAGGTGACTAGTTCACATCTCTCCCCTCCCACCGCCCCCAACAGGAAGAAGCTAGGTTGACTGAAAAATTGTCAACCTACACCATTCAGAAGCATGGGTTTTTCACATCTCTGATTGACATAGTTGAGATGATCTAAGTTACAGCAGGACTATTTCAGTGGTTGGCCATCTCTAGATTTCACCTTATCTCCATCATACTGAGCATGAATTCTGCACAACTAAGGAGGTGTCTACAGTACCAGTTGTGTGAAACCAAAATGAACTGGACAAACATTGGATTTTGACTTTGATTATTCTGTGGATTCTTTAATCATCCTGTGCAAAAACATTAAGCTTCTTCAAATAGGTACACACCCTTGTGTTGGCTCACCATTCTCTGTACGGGACACAGAGCGTCAGTTCTGTTTACCACAGTTATAAATAGCCTGCATTTCCCCTTAGGGAATCTGGACACCAACTAAATTCAGGACAGTTGTCTAAGAAGCGCTTGGCTCTAGGTATCTGATGAAATAGTTCAGCCCTAGTAAACAAAAGTCTTTCAAACAGAACTAGAGAACAGCTTTGGCCAGAATGTTTGCCTTTATACTTTACCAACAGCTGTGACTACGCTGCCGTCAGTGCAATCCAGCAATATTCACTGAGGCAGCCCCAGAGAGGTGAACATTACGCCATGCTTTGCCAGGGAGACTTCTAGCAGCACAGAGCATTTACCCAGAGGAGGGCCCTGCAGTGATTCCACCTTGGAGATTCACCTGAGCTGAGACTCTCCTCAGAGCTCCATCAAAGTTCCATGCACAGAGACACTGAACCACTGCATTCCCCAGCCTCCCTTCTACAAATCTGACACTTACTCTGGGCTTGAATAAAGTTATTAACTGGTTAACGATGCATTACAAAACCAATTGCCTTTAACATTTGGATTTTCACATCAAAAGCTATGAATGGGACACATCCAGCCCATTTAATTAGATTCACTAATATGCATCCTAAATTGACAGGTACTTCTTCTGCTGTTATATATAGCTATATCTTGGTTTATGTTATTTCCACTCCAATTCATCTGATGAAATGGGTCTTAGAAAAGCTCATGATACTAAATATTTTTGTTAGTCTCTAAGGTGTCACAAGACTACTTGTTGTTAAAGTTACAGACGAATATGATTACCCTGCTGAGACTTTTTATTTCACACAGGATACTTAAAGAGACATCAGCTGGCTAAAGTGTTCAGTCCTTACTGGCATGAATCAGAGATAAACTAGTGAATTAGCAGTTAAATGCGAGTACCAGGTAGCAGCCCCTGAACTCTCCAAGCCCTAAATTCATTGAGGGAAAGCACCATGCAATGCTCCAAACTTTCTAACACAGGAAGGCTGCATCTAGACTGTCATGATTTTGTGGAAATAGTTTTAACGG